AGAGGTCCTCTTCGTATTCATTCTTACAATAAATTGTAGGAGTTTAGTTTTTTACGGTCACGGATTGTTGTGGTCAGAGATGCTGTTGTGCACTGAGGAAAAAATACTCTTGTGTTGAAGAGTTTCCCAAGTTCAGTGCAAAAAAATAATACAAAAAGAGCATTAGTGGATATCACTGATTGATAGCTTTACTTATTTCTCACTACATAGTTGTGCACATCATCTGTTTGAATCACCAAAAACTTGGTGGTACTCTTATGCCATCTTTCCCATCCTCCTTAACGTTACATTCATTTATTGCATTTCCATCTCAACCTAGGACAGAAGTGTCGTGTGTTATTTTTGCACAGAATGCAATGTAAGTAGGGTTTATTCTTGATTAAGCCTGCGGGCTCTATTATAAAATGAGTAGGAAATGGGAATATATTATCTGAGTGCTAATCTACAGGATATTATTCTATAAGGAGCAAAGTATGGCTCAGTGGAGGCTGCCAGTTATGGCAGATTTAATGTATATTTGTCTCAAGGCTGCCACTATGATTCAGTATTTCTACTGCGTTCAGTATTTCTTGTGACTAAATTGGAACCTAAAAGGACTAGCTAAAACCTCTGTGCTACGGTACACATCTTAATTTGGGATAATAATTGAAGCTGGGAGACTATGTGGGTGCAAATGGAAGCGTTTGTATGCATGCAAGATTGAAGCCTAATTGAATAGTTTTGCTCATTATGCAGAAATTTCCCATCTCATGGATTAAGCATTGGATTCGTTGCAAGATCAGTGTTTGCAAAGGAAACTCACAACGTGTTCCCTCGGTGTAGTGAAAACTTGGACTCTTGGGCATGTCAGTTCAATATTTTGACTTACAGCAGAAAGAAGGTCAGTGGCAGCTACACTAGTGCAGCTTTCCGAGTCTCTTGGTACTAGTCCCTTAAAACTCCTTACGCTTTTTGCCTAGACTCATAAATTAATGACACTTGGTACTCTCACTTGTGCGAGCATGCTGATTTTCTAAGGACCAGCTTTAGAGAGTTGCACTACATCCATAAACACTAGCAGCATGATTCACGTGGAAGAGAAACAAGCAGCTGCTTTTAAAGCAAACAGAAGTGTTGCTATTAATTCCTTCCGAAGGAGACTGATTTTGCCGAGGCTGAATTTCTTTCTGCTGCGACCAAAGGACATAATTTGCCCAATTCACAGTGCAATTCTCTTTTAGCAAAAGCTAAATCTTTACCACTGCTCATCTGTCAGGGATTCTTGGGCAAGTCAGCAATTTACAGGCATAGCAAAGGGTCCTTAAGTTTAATTTGTGCCCGCAGCTGCACAAATTGCTCCACAAAAGCTCCACAATATGGTACTTTTTGAACAGATTCATCTTTGACCAAGTCCCGAGAGTTGGGAAGGTGGAGGTCTGTTTTCTTGTTATGATCCCGGAGCACATGTGACAGGAAGACTGGAAGGAAGTGGCTTTTGTATTGATGGCTCCCCACCTCTGTCAAAGGTGCTTTTGCTGCCAGCATTTTGTCCTTGAAAGGGTTGTCCCTCTCCTGTCCCAAGGGTGAGCTCCTGGTCGGATCCTGCAGTGTACTGACCCTCTTCCCTCTTGCTTTCATCTTCTGCACCACATCAAAACCACGCCAAGAGCACTAATGGGAATTCTGCAACAATGCCATCTAATTACTGGCTCTTGACCTACTGGTGCGTGATACATTCTTTTCATATATCAGTGTTGATTACCTAATTTCCTATTGTTTTTCCCCCTATAAATTCCCAGAGTTATTAGTAACCCTGCTGTTTCATACTTGTGTAGCCACTTTTTATGTTCTGGGAGGAGGAAATTCTGTGTATTATGGCACGTGATACTCTCTAATGCTGTGCTTTTCCTCTAAACCATCCTTAGTTTTTCTTTCCGTTAGTGCATTGTAAATTCGAGATTTCTTTATTTTTGTCTTTATTTCTGCTTTGGCTGTGGCTTATCAATTTCCTGCTGCTGGGCTTCAGTGCTGATGAGGCAGAGAGCTTAAAAAATAACAATACAGATTGTAAAAGAAGTGTAGTATATACTTACACATGTCAAAAGACTGGGATGTATGCAAAAGACTTTTTCCTTTTCCAAGACCTTTTGCTTCCAGTGGTGGTAAAATTACTAGATTTGGCGTTGCGCTTAACACTGATTATAGAGTGAGATAATAAATACTAGAAGTTATTTCAATTCAGTAGGTGGAGGGATAACAAGCTCTTGTGACTGAAAACTGAAATTAGGTTAATTCAGATTAGAAGCAACTGTTAACAATGGCAGTAATTAACCAGAGAAAGCCCTTGCAGAGCTGTGTTCTCCCCTAGTTGAAGCCTGAGCCGCCTGCTCCACTAGCATCCCCCAGCCGTGCTCCTCCCAGTGTCCCTTCTGTGCTTCGCAGGTGGTCAGGGATGAGGAGCACCCTAATTTAGCGTGAGCTAAAACCTACGGTGCTCTCAAATGTGTATGCTATGTGTAGGGGATCTACAAAAACATGACTAATAATGAGAGTGGTGTCAGATTTAAACCCCACAGTTAAAGCAGGCTCCACTACACGTTGCAAATAAAATTTAGGCCATGTAAACAATGCCTTAATTAAAGCCATTTTAATTAAAGCAATTTTTATAAAATAAAATCCTTACCTTTATATTTATTTACTCTTTTAAATTTCCTTTTGAGCCATCTGCCTTACAGGTTCACCAAGCCTGACAAAGCCCTCGCTCCTAGATGTTTCCCTCCATTCACCTGTTTGTATTGCTTGACAAATGGTTTCTGCCATCTGTGTTCCAACGATAAGCGTTGTTAGTGCTGAGCCTTCCACCGTTCTGTTCTGTCCCAGTGGGGCACCAGCTCTCCAATTACCCTGTCCTGCTGCTGTAAACTGATAAACTTAACACTGCAGTCCCACGTTGGATTACCACAAGGGAGTCGGTTACCTGCTCTAGAAAAACACTTTAATTAGTGGCTTTTGAGGTCTGAAGAAATCACCTTCATTTTGCAAATCTAGCAGAAAGATGTGTCTCTCCCTACCGTTGTTCTTGACATTAAAATGAGATGATTTATGGGTTTTGATGGTATTTCATTAAAAATAGCTGAGCTCTTGTTACCCATTACTGTCACCTTTGATTAGTTTAAATGTGGCTATGACCGTATTCTTCCTCCATAATTTATCTCCTAGAAAAAATTACATCTTTGAACGTTAAAGGAAATACTCAGAGGAAGATTCTGAGTTGCCAGAAGAACAAATTTTGGAAGCTATATAAAACCTTCTACCTCAAGGAGCAAAGCAGATTGTCTGGAATTGCCTACCACAGAGTGTTACACATCCTTTGAAACATCTGGCGATGGCCACCCTCATAGCCAGGAAACCAGATTAAACAAATGATGGAACAAATCCCACACTAAATTAATTATCATTGGATGCAGGAGGTTCTTGTGAAATCTCTTTACTTTATCCTTGCCCTTCCAGCTGGAACAGAGCTGCAGAACAGGCTAGCAAGCTCATTATCAGATTTCAGAGAAAATAAAGCACTGAGCCACTTCTCTGTTAACTGGTAAACAAACAAATGGAAAAAATATATTTAAGACATGACTAAATGATTATTTTCATTATATAGTCAGGCAAATAATTTAAGGATTTACAATCTTTTCACCTACTTTAGTCATAATGATATTCAGTTGTTGCATGACCATTACAGGCCTCATCCAGCTTCATAGGAAGCCAAAGTAATGAAGGCAGGACAGCACTTCAGAGGACTTGCAAGGATTCCACGCTGGCATTTACTTTCAGATAAATATGCCTTGCAGAAAGTTGCATACAGGTGGCTGTATTCCACTGGATGCAACTATCGGGTAACTGGCCAACGTTATAAACAACAGTCCACCACTTGGTCCACATTCTGTAGACTGAATGCTTATTTCTATTTCTCAAAGATGACAAACAATATTGTATCAAGTATCTCTGAAAAATGAAAGTTCTTGGACTTGATTTTTTTAAAATCTCTTTATTAAGAAAAAGCATTTTTTACATAGAAAAGATACAGAAGGTAAATAAACACAGTAGAATTCATTGCCTCGTGTAATAGCTGTACAACTGAATCTTACTGACAAAAGTTGCAGAAAACCTAAATATTATAAAAAGCCACCTCCAAAATGAGACTCTTGACAGAGTGAGAACGAGACACAAAAACGAACAACATTGAACAACTGTGAATCACAAGTATGTAGAAAGACACAGCCAGTACGCCACAAGAGGCCTCGTGCCAAAGGATATTCCTGTTTCAGTATTATGCCTTCAATGGAGAAATCAGATAACTTTAATTCTTTAAGAAATCTTGGTATCTTGTATATCCTGCAATTTATTATTTAAATTTCCAACTTTTCAGAGCTGGAAAGCCTTTAAAATTTTGCTTAAAAAGAAACTCTGATGAGATTAATATTTTAGTTTTCAAAAACAAATTCTTAAATCTTGTTTTGTCATGTCTCCCAATGGCAATTATTACATTATTTTCCCAAGGATTATGTGAAGGAAAATAAGACAATGAGGAATATTGAATTCAAAGCTGTGAACTGAACTGAGTACTCTTGCACTGGCATCTGTGATGGCCTTTGCTGAAGCTTGCAGGGGAGTACAGAGATCTGCCGCAGTGCCTGCAGGGCACTTGCCTGTAAACTGGGGCAGATTCAGCAGCACTCCACTGATGGCATGGTCAGCGGTACCGTCGGGAATTAAAACGGTCTCACAAGCTGGCACTGTGCAGACTAAAAAAATATACCAGGGAAAAATAAATGAGAACAGACACTTGAATGGCGACAGAAGACAAAAGATTTATTTTTATGGACTTTCAACTGGTGTTAAGATCGCTTGAGAGACATCCAGTAGATTTGTAAGACCACCACAGATATGACTACATATGCATGTTCTGTCTATCTCACTACCACACCCTGTCTTCATAAAGGCACTAACTATAAATAATATGAAAACGGACAGATAAAATGCCAGAAAAAAACCTGGATGCTCGTATGGATTTCTGTGTTTATGTTTGTACACATTCATGCTTTAAATGTACAAATTTAAAATTAATTTTAAAAGTCACCTTTATTTTGGCAATAGAACTGATAAAATGAGACATGCAGAACACACAGCTCGACAGAACTCAGTGCATGATTATGTCAGATTGAAGCAGTTCTTTATCACCCTCTGTGAACTGGGAATACATTCATATTACAAGGCAAAAAAACCCCCACCCAAAACAGACAACATCTGGCTTCTGTATAATGCATCTGCTTTTCCACATCTTCTCCAACATCTTTGGATAGTAAAATCTACGTCTGACCACAGGTTAAATTGTAAGGTTATATTTTAACAGTCTTCATAGTGCAGCAAGGCAAGACAGAGCTGCCCATATTCACTGTTCTATCTCCAGGCTATCCATTTTTAAGTCGGGGGGTTTAAAGCTAATGACTTCTTCATAGGTAAGTTCTGTAGAGAAGGGGTAAGGGAGAGAGGAGAATTAGGTGATAGTGTCTTCAGAAGAAAAATATTCTAGACAAAACAGTTCTATGGATGCATGTGACTTGTAGTTTTTATTTCCAGCCTTTTTAAGAGTCCAGCTCCAAAACCAGACTGAATTCACCAGGAATGCTTCCGTTAACCTCAGATTACAAATTAAGATTCACAAATACTGTTATTGTACAACTTGTCCATCCCCTTCAGGTAATTACTAAAATACACAGGCCCTGAAATGGAAACATCAATTATGCTGTCAGATGACCTCCCAAAATGATGTAATAAAAGACAAAACGTAATGGAAAATGGAATCTTGAAAAGCACCTGAAAAGGTTTTAAAATGTACACTTTTAACTGCAGAGAATGTTCTTTATGATCTCTCAGTTAATTGCCTTCAACGTAAATCACTCGCAGTTCTGTGTTAATGCCTTGGGATCTAGGTTTTTATATTTTATTGTAAGATAACACAATTTTAAGGTCCTCTGAAAAAAATTTCTTTTGTCTTAGAAGCATGTAGCAAGAAAGGCTTAACTAGAAACACAGATTCCTTGCTATTTTACTCTGCTTTAGGAATAGCCCTTTATCTTTTAATGCTGAAAGTCATGTCCTGTTTTGGGCCTTCCACGGTAATGGATACGTCATCAGCAGCTACGTCCTATGTATTTTCTCAAGTTAGATACTGTATTTTAAAGACCAAATCCTATTCACACATAAATATATGGCTATCAGTGCATTACTTCAGGATCTATTTTCCAAACACAGATGTTTAAATAATATAAAACTTGTGCCTATTAGCTTGTTTATTAAATAGATCTGTCCGAGACAGCTGCTACACCTGCAAGTGGACCTTGCACTCCTCTAGAGTATGTAAAAATCTTTGGGCCAAATCTTGCATACACTCTGATTGTGTTACGCTGCAGCACGGTGTACAGTGATCAGTGTGCCAGCTTCAGTGAAGGATTTCTTTGAAAGAAATTCTGTGTGAAGAACCTTCAGGTTGAAGGATTCCTTAGGTAACTCTTTCAGTGACTGATTTGTGGCTATTAAGTCGCATCTGGCCACAGGCAGCCAGGTGGGAGCTAGAGTAGTCCTGACTGAACTCAGAGGAAGCTGGCGTCCTCAGAAACTGGATGCCTGGGACTGTATTAGAAATTATTCCTGCTGGCTGTGCATTGTATGTTTGTGAAGCTCCCTACCGGGTTCTCATGCCACCTGCTTAGCTAAGAGCATAGATGTTAAGCTGAGATATGTGTAACTGGAGCACCAGCTAAGGAGAGACAGTGTCTGAATAGCATATTCTTGGCCTCTAAAATTCTGAAATATTTTCTGATTAAACATGCCAGAAAGAAATCTATGAGCCTGGGCTGCAAGCCTCGGCAGTGCACAATGGAGGCCAAGGAAACTCTTAAGTGCAGAACGTGTAAGACAAAGTATCTGAAATCTCATTTTACTTTGGTGCTCAGTCTCTCTTAGGATCAAGTGCCACTGATTTTTAATTAGAACAAAAAGAGGGGAAATATGCCATTGACATCCTGAGAAACTGGGTCAATATTTCATCAACAATACAAACATTTTATGCAAATAGTGACCTTTCATGTCATCTTACTTAAATGTGGCACATACTGTACTTGAAAATAAAATGCTTATTCTCCAAGATAAAAATATGGCCAGGAGGAAGAGCCGCATGTCTTGTGCCAGTTTTGAGATTTTTGTCCCAAGCCTTTTTTTTCCCCCTGTATAAAGAAGGAAATTGACCTGTAGTTCCAGCAAGGACAGTGATGTAGAAAAATATGATACTCTCCTTCTTAGAGAATTCTCCTCCATGTCCTCATTTCAGTTCAGAAATTGTTAAGCTAAGATTGTTCCTGAAATAATTTCAACGGAGTTTCATCGCAAACAGAAATCAGCTTTGCATCTCGGAAATTGTTAAACTTCCCCGTTAAAGACTCAATCAAATGAAAAAGTAGCAGAAAACAAATCATCCAGTGGTAAGTACAGCACCAAATTTAACATGCCTTTCAATAAACAAGATGCATGGGTGGTGCTGTATGCTGCCAGGTTTTGCAGAGGAGAGCATGTGTAAGGCATAAGCGATACCAGTCAATCCTCCCAGTTTGTACAGATGCAGTAGGTTTCTAAAAAACCCTTTCCAGGGCTCTAGAAAGTTCATTTATTTGTAGAGATCCATGACCCCACTCCCATCTTTCTTTAAGATGTATTTGCTGTAGTCAGGCTGCTTGTCTCCCCTGCAATGCCCAGGATAAAACATGGCACAAGTGGAAGGGCACGAGTAAGACATGAGAGGTCAACAGTCTTCATCCATAGTTTTACCCACTATGCTAATATATTTTTATTAAATGTTTCTGAAATAAGTTATAGAACATACAAATAGAAACAGAAGAAAATTTATTTTATCGAATACATATTCCATCTTAAGCCAAGGAAAGGACTTTATTGATAAACAGGAGCAATTAGTTTTCTAGAACATTACTCTCAATTTAAAATGTCTAGTAAGGAATTTTTAGCATAGTATGTCCTCATTAGACAATGATGAAATTGGACTGTACTTTTCAGTATATCTGCAACCTAAATGTTCAGCCATGTCACTTCCGTGACACTGTAGTGCAATATGATCATGATGCAAGCATGGAATTAACTAATAGAAGAAGGTTGTTGCAGTATTTCTCAAGAATGGCTTTTGGGGTGTCACTCCAAAGTAAAATCATCAACTCTCATCTCAAACAGGATCATGATTTATCTATTAATCCCAGTTACTTAGCTATATAAAAAATGATTAGCCAAATATACACTTATGTGAATAACTGTCATTTTTGGTTCTGAACAAAGTTATATCAGAATCTCAAACAGCATCACTTGCCCTAGGACAGTTACTTCAGCTGAGGATCTGACCTAGAAAACTAAAAGTTAGTCAGTTACCTGGTAACTTGCATCATCTTTTAGTTAAGGGTAAACCTGCTATAGGGAATGTAGTGAGGAGATGACAGAATGGGGGAAGGGAGTGAAATCCAGAGAGGAAACACAACTGTTTCCACATTTCCACTCCCACAAGCACACACATGGACTTAGCTTGTTTCCCTGAGGCTTAAGAGTTCAAATTGCTCTTGTTAGAAACAGAGAAGAACTGTTACTTAAGTAAGGTTTTGTTCTGCTGCGTGTGTTAACTACTGCATGCAATTCTGTTACCTTTCCATTCATCTATGGTTCTCTCCTTGTTCTCTATTGACTCATCATACAGCTCAGCCTCAGGTTCATCATCTGGATCGTGATACTGTACAAAGTATGGATGTGCAAGTGCTTCTGAGGCAGTAATTCTTTTATCGCTGTCTAGTATAAGCATCTTCTCAAGAAGATCTACAGCTAAGGAAAACAGAGAAATGTGGTTCAAAGCCAGAAGAGACCATCTAGGAGTAAAAGAGAAGGCAACTGTTCACACACAATGTATTCTCACTCACCTTAAACACAGCTAACACTACTGGCAACCCCACAACATTTAGGCAATATACCAAACAAGTTTTGAAGATTCTATACTCTAAGTACAATTTTCACAGCTGAAGAAAGCTTCTGGTTTGCTTGTAGTGTGCACAAAGGTTCATTACAGTCTATTTGATATCTGATTCACCTCTTCAGACTTCCAAGGCCTTCATTCTGAAGAGATCTCTGTGTGCTTAAATGTTAACTATCCTCTGTTGTGCATCATGTGCTTAACTTGGTCCTGATCAGTGCAATCTTAAGGAATTTAAAATTGTGAATGTGAGATTACACTTTAGTTAGCTGCACCAATGAAATCAGATGAAAACTACAAAAAACATTTTAACTCATAATACTTCCCTATATACAATGTTTTAAGGTGCTCGATGGAACTGACCAGGCACTGTAGTAAGATTACTCCAGTGACTCAAACATCTCCTTTGCCGTGTCACAAGAAATGGTGCACAGAAACATCTCTTTTGCACAGACAGAACCAATTGGTTAGATATAAAAACAATAGTGCAGGATCAGACCAAAGGTCTGTCTAGTCTGGTATACTGTGTCCAACCATGGCTAATACATTCCTAGGAAATAATACACAAAAGGGCTATTCAAACAGCTATACTTCCTGCTATATTCTTCTGCTTGCCAGCAATTTAGAGCTCATGGCCTTCCTGAGCCAGAAGTGACGTCTCTAGTCTAGACCCCGTGACATTTTTATTTATTCCTGTTATATATAGCTGGCTTTTGCTTTTCCATCACAGACCATTTTCCTTTAGGAGGTTCCCATAATCTCCACCAGAAACAAAAGACACAGGCTTCATGAAGGGAAAAGTCTCAGGATGAAAGGTTAAGCAATGCTCTTTTCACTCGTCCAATCATTATTATATTGGATCACACAGCAAAGGAAGGACTGAATTCCTATGTTAGTGAAAGATTTAAACTGTATCAATCTGACTTTCTTACCTAATGGATTGGCACCACGAAATACTGCTTTCAAATCCTGTTGAGGCATATGTGGAAGAGATTCAATGTATTTTCTTGCCTGGGAATAAATCAATATACATACCACAAGCACAGGTTAAATTTTGCCCAACAGTAACCATATCAACTCTAAAAAACCAGACATAATACCTGTTATGTTTCTTATACATGGTAAACCTTCTTTGGGTAAAACAATAATGTATGACGTCAATCATTTTAAACAGTCACTCCTATGTACTGCACAATAAACAAGAGTTTTAAACAGGTATATCTTCCCCTAAGGGTTATGTGTTAGCACTTAAGTTTTCACCTACACTTACTGGTTCATTGCAGTATATCCCCAGGGAACACACGTGTGTAACGTTCAACCAGAAACTGCAGCCTAAATCACCTTTCAGTTACCCTCAGTGAAGTGGTGTAATCCAACCTGTGTCTTTCCCTCTTCTTTCTCCTCTGTCGAACAGTAGCTTCACTAATGAAAGAACAAATCCTGATACTCCCAGGGCACAGATCTTCAGATATTTAACAGAATTTATAGCTTGCCTTGTCACTGTAGCTGTGAAAGGCTCATCCGAACTCAGCTAGGAAAGGGCTGCCCTCGTATTAGACCCACAATGTCAGCACAGAGCCTGATGTTATATGAACCACAAATTTCTGGGCTAAGGTAGGTAGGTAAACATTTATCAGCAACAGAAGAGGTTGAATGCTGGTCTTAAAAGGCTGGAATTGGACAGAACAGGGAGTTCTGAAATGGAACAGTTAAAGAAGAGGCAAATGGCTGTCCCCAAATCTGTAGAAAATCCAGCTAGACTTTGAACAAACCTTAATCCTTTTAAAACATGTTTGTGTTACGGGGAGGTCTTCCTGCACACTTAGCAATCCTGTTAGAAGGAGACTATCTGCAGGAGGCTAACTAAGCATCCTTGGCCTACTGAAGACAGCAAAGGAAATAAAGTTGTTCACACTAAGCAGCTCCATGGCTTCACATGAGATATGGGCTTGAGAATTGTGGAACTATCTTCAGGATTGACCATCTCAGTGCATCATTAAGTGACTACAAAATACTCTGACATATCAGCTGTGCAATCCTACAGCCACGCTTGGGAAACAGATCCTGTTCCCTACAGTTCTCTCTGTCATCATCTGAATTTCTGCAGCTACGATGAACTGATATAATATTAAATCATTACATCACAGTCTCTTTTCAAACTGTGTTCTAATTTAGTGAGGCAAATCTATTTATTCTTTTCTGCTTTTTAAAAGATATAAGCATATTCTAACATAACTCTAGAGTATCAGTAGTGACACATTTCAGAGTCCTACTAAAAGAAGCAAACCTTCATGTGTTATGTCCCCAACCTGTTAAAACTCTATGAGAATTTTTGCTCTTTATCATGGGGGCTGACAGCAAGCCTTTCTAAGAGGATGATGTTTTTCTTAGCAGCTGTAGCCAGTCACACAGAGAATGGTGTTTAAAGGCTACTCAAACACAGGCTTCTCTCCACCTACTTTACGCCCCCAAAGTTCATAAAGGCAGCAGACACCTGCTAGACAGTCAGGGTGTGCAGCTCCTATCAGAGCTAAGTCTTCCAGGGAATTAGTTTATACATATGTATGAAGAGCAGAGCAAAACAGAGCTGTCACACATTCTTGTATGGAAGCTATGGATGAGGGTAGAAACAAGAGGTAAATTTATCTTATGACAAACGTGTGAATTTGTGGATTGTTTCTGTATGGACATCAATTAACATGACTAATCCAAACATGACTGAACAAGATGCAGTCAAAATTATCTCCAACCTTGTCCACAGGTCCTTTGAAAACAACACAGACTATCAAAGCATACTTACTAAGCCATCCCCTCAGAAACCCAACCAATAGAATCTAGACCTTTAAATTATCCTGAAAATAATGAAATGCAATTACTGTCTAAACTTGTATGATTGTGAAAGACTGACAAATCAGCTCAGCTTGTGGTGAAACATCCCATGAGGTTGATCTTTTAGTTTCCAATTCTTTAATCCTCCATTTATAACTGAAAATAGGCTTGGCATTTCAGAAAAAAATCTGATCTTGCTGTTAGAGGAATGGAAAAAATTGTCCGGGACTGCAAGCTGCATTAAGAAATATCTAAACAATAAAGCCCAACTAGAAGGTAAAGAAGAACTAGAACAAAGGAATGGAATAGACACTCCCTTGCAAGAGGCAAGTCCCTCCAAACAAGGTATCTCCTTTGATCTAGCTGCTGCAGCAGCCCGGATGTGACCTAGCAGCACTCCCATTCACTAACTTGGTTTTTGTGTTCTTTCTGTGCCCTAAAGGCATCATTAACCCCAGTAAAACAGTTTTGGGATTCCTGTAGCTCTCTGAGATATGCTCTGAAACACTAGAAATTAAAGACAAAAGCAGACACTATCTCCAGTAAATATTTAAGGTGCTTAATCTCATAATCAAAAAGCTTGCAAACTGACTGCTTGTGGGCAAACCACACATTTGTATATGCTACTCTGAATGTGTTACTGCAAAAGCCGTAGGATCTTAATAACACATAAAGGCTATATAAGGACATATGCTTAGGACAGCACAGTCCAAAATCTGCCCCCGGCACAGGGATGGATCATCCAGCTGCCCCAGCCATGTCCAGGTGCTGGGTACCCACAAGCTCTGGGGTTGTGTTAGCCTGTGCTGATGAGGTTTTGTTATGCTTGGACCTTCCAGAAATACAGTGCTGCTCTGGCTCTCCTGCTGTTCCTGCTTACTAACCCACTGGTGTATTAAGTTCAAAGAAAACCCATCAATATACACATGTGAGTGGAAAAAACAGCCATTAGTAGTAGACTGAGGTTTATACAGAAAAGGTTTAAGAAAACAGCTTCAGCTCTGGAAGTATCTGTGTGCTGCTGTTTGACCTGAATTTTTACACTTTGCCCATCACCTGCCTTTATAAATCACTACCACATCTCATTCCTCAGCTGGATATCCATGGTTATTGCTTAAAATCAATCCTTTAAATGTAGCTTTAACAGAGAAACAAAGTGGAAATTGTTAATTTGCTAGATTACCATCTTAAAGAAAGTTAAAAATCACACCATTAACTACAGATATTATCGTGAAAGAGGACCTCACACAAGCATTCAGAAAGATGAATAAATATGAATTTCAAATTAGGGATCCAAATAAAAGCACTCATGCAGAACAAACTTTATTTGATTCTGATATCTCTGTTTAGATGTCTTACAACAACAGAAAGCATAAAAATTAAAGAGACATCAGACTTAACATCAATAAGATAATGCCCTGAGCTGACCATCAGTTTGAATTTTTTATTATAAGTATAGCACTAAAATAAAAGATCATCAGTATCCTTTCAAAAACTGAGTACATGAGAACAAGTATCAAAATTAATCCAGCTGCCAGTCAAGGCATTTGGATACCTCTAAAAAGAGTATTTTTTTAAATCTGGCATTCTAGCAACAAAAAACAGAGATCACTTGGACGTGTTTGCCCATTTCCAAAGCTGAGTACCTGTGTAACACAACCAGTGACACACAATGCCAGCTGGAGAAAGCGACAGAAAGTCAGTTAACCAAATGAAGCTGTGAACTCACATGTTCTGATGATATCTTCTTCAGAAGTTCTGAACTGGGTGTGCCCACAACTTCCATTATTCTCTTTAGTTGATCGATATCTGCATTATTTCAGGGAAATAAACAGCACATGGTCCTTCTGGGTTTAAACAATCAATGAGCTTTCATGCAGATAGTTAAGATGCTTAAAACTATTCAGCAGAACAATTCCATCCCAGTCCATGGAAGGACACCAATTCATACCTGCTTAAGCCTAGTCCTGGAGTATCAAATTCTCTATTTGTACTATGTGAATCTCTGTCAGGTGTGCCTGTATGTGAGAAAGGTGCATGTAAGATATTGCTTCCCTGTCCTAGTTCCCAATTTAACATACACTTCTTAAGCTTAGATTTAATAGTACATTTATGTTCCAGTGATCTGAAGGATTTCTAAAGGATGGCCTATTACAGCACATAGGGCTAAATTACCAATCTGAGGGCTGGTAAGTGGAAAATTCTCATTTGGTAGATTTAAAAATCTGTTTTATATCACTCTCAAGATTAAAAACTTTAAAATATTAATTTTTCATTGTCATATATGACCTGTACAGTATATTACATTTTCCCTAGAGACTCAAAGTTATTTTACAGCTTTATTTAAATTGTTGTCACATAATTGTAGACCATGTTTTATAACAGCAAAAAAAAAAAATCTTATTTCTTGAAAACTAGATGTATTGACTTTTCCAAATACCACATATCATGTAGTCAAACAGTCTGAAGCACAGTCATCATGCATATGATGAACAGCTGGACAATGCTTGTGGTAACAGTAGAGCCTAAAGATGCTGAGCACAACAGAAAGGTCAGTAGGGAGACTTGGTCTTTCAGCTCTCTTATCAGTTTTGTAGGCAATTCTAATGTCATGTTGTTTCGTACCTGCCAATGGCTTAGTTTTAGCAGAAGCGTTTGCTTTTTGAGGATTTCAAAATAGTGAGAAATGTCAATATTCAGTAGAGAAGAACGTGCCTTTGTTTCTCATATTAAAAGCCTTCCTCCTCTGAAGCAGTTGTTTCCTCATTCCCTGTTATCTGTTTCTCATTTTTCTTTTATTATTTTACTGCTCTCCTCAGCAACAGCTCTTTTTTTTTTTTTTTTCTCCTGCCAGCACAGAAAACACCAATGGAAATCCCTGATGCTCCAGCAGGGACCACAGCACAGTGCTGAAGAAAAGAGGGTTTTGATGCTTCTGTGGCTATTCTGGAACTGCTGGCATTTTTTATAACAGGACACAATATGCCCATTAATTATTATTTTAAAGTTAATTTGTTTGCATTTTAGGAACTTTCAGCCTAAAAGCAGTTCTATTTTTTTAAATTATAACATCCCATCAAAAAATACCACCTTTACTCAGCTTCAGTTTTAATGTATGTTATTTCAGTGAGATACACACATGGAATAAATCTGCTTTGTTGTAACTAGGTTATTATTTAAATTGAGATACACAACAAAGAGTAAATGTAACTTATTGTTGTTAAAAGCATCTGTTACTGGTTTTTTTCCTACCAGTGGGTCTCATATTCAGCCGTCATATACACTAAACTGAAAGATTAGCAAAAATTGTTTACTGCTTTAGAAGTTTGTTACCTCAAAAACATTTCCACAGAAACACTCAGGTCATTAAAAAAAGAAAGAAAGAATTAGAGAGTATTTTTTATAGCTGCATTTTATGTTTTAAGTTAAGGATACAATCATTTCCTGGAAATAGGGCTTTTCCTTTCAATAGCTCTGCCATGATGCACCCAACTGACCAGATGTCAACTGCCAAAAAAAGGACAGAGAAATGTGTATGATGAATCAAAGAGATTAATCTTAAACAGAGTTGCCTCTTGGTTTAAAACTGTCACTATATCCAGATGTAACAAAATGCAAGTCTTCACAGTTTACCTGTTTGATTGTAGTGCATCCAGTTTAACATAATTTCTGGAGCTCTGTACCATCTTGTCGCAACATATCCAGTCATTTCATCATCAGTTTGTCGAGCTAAACCAAAGTCTAAGATCTACAGAATAAAAAAGAATTAATAAAAATCCCTTTTCACTTTTGTTTTGGGTACTGATTTCCCCCATTACTTATTTCTGAGTTTATCCATCAGTTCTAGTCCCTCAGCATCGGTGAAATGAAATAGCAACACTCTGCAGACGAGCTCATCTGCCCTCCCTGCGGTGTCCCTGCAGCCTACGGGCCTGCATAAAGACGCTTCCACTGCAGTGAGCCCAGCCCTTTGTCCTCTAAGGCAAACTTCACATTTTGCCTCAGGTTCAATGTTCCGCTGACATTTGTTTGCTAAAAATAAGCACTGCTGCTATAAAAATGAAATACTATCAACTGGGAACGTTTGTGTAAAATGCCAACAGCAAGTGCCACTGGCCACGAGCTGACCACAAACCTGCAGAAGTTCTGTTGTTTCCCTCTCATGTCTACTTAACCACTGTTGCACACAGGTAGCATTTACTCAAATCACGCATTCTTTTGATGCCACTAGGAGAGAAGCATATATCCTGCGTAACAAGGTAGATTTAAATCACATACCATCTGCTTTCAGTAGAACTCACCCACTAAAACAATAATGGAGCTCTGTTTAGGTACACTTATTACTCATAGTTTTGATGGCAAAATGTTCCCTTCCATATGCTCTCCCTTGATAAGTTTACATCGACAGGAAGTTATTTCCATTACATTTTTCCTGATCACTTCTTTGCTTTCTGTTTTTTGATTAGTCTATGCCTACTAATTATGGAGTTAAAAGGTATCCCTGACTCTCAGAGAGACTGTTGTCAAAGGGTACCATCTGAGCCTCAGTGCTGTTTGTTAAGTCTAAACTAGTGAGCATCTCTTCAAATAGAAATGTGAAATAAGATCAGTGGCAACCTCCTGTGATGAAATCCAGGATTATTTATTAAGCTGATGGCTAATCCTTTTCATTGAGAGTAAGAAAACTTTAAGAGTATCATTCAAAATTCCTCAGTTATAATCCAATTTAAAGATATAAAAAGCCTAAAAAAAAATTTGAGATATAAATAATACATTAACATCTTTACTTCTAATATACTTTAAAAACACTATTTATTTCTTAAATAAGCAAAAATAAAAGCATGAGGCAAACAAGGCATGAATAATGGCTTGAAACTTGAACACTAATGCCCTTATTTTTACAAGGGTTTTTTCTTTGATAGCTGATCTCTTCTGTCAATTGTGAACACACGTTTTCCTTCTTTTTGCCTCCATTTCCTTTTTTTTTTTGTACCTGGAATTATCCACTAGTTTGTTCTATTAGAAAATAATCTGGAATCAGAGGAAGTAAACCTATAAATATAAACAAAGCAAAGAGCAGTGTAACAAATACTAGGCAGAGGGGTGTACAGATACCACAATAATAGAAAAATAAAGAGTAAAAGTCTCCTTTACTTAGAGTACAAAAATATAGCACACATTTTAGAGTGCATGATCAGACCCAGATGACTCATAAAATTTCACAGATGCTGAACATACATGCATGAAGACATTAAAGAGATAATAATGAAAATTGCTGAGCATCTGCAACTATCACTAAACCAAACAGGACCTACAGTTTCTCGCCACAGATCTGGATTAGTGCAAGAACCTAACTGCACTGCCCTTATACACTACTGTGATTTTTTTGCTGATCTCGTAATATTTGGAATCTTCTCTTAAATCCCTTGCAGCTGGAATAAAGTGATTACATCAAAGTCTCAGTCAGAGGGACAAAGATGTTTCTGGCTGTCATGGAGAAATGCTAAACTTCTCATTTCTAGGCTTAAAGACTTAGCAAGCTAGAAGACATCTTTTCCTTTTCCAGAGTCTCATGCTTATTATGTAGTATCATATCACACAGATACAGAGATACGTATTTATATAGACGTGTACATTAAAATAGCATTTGAAAAGTGTGGATTACAGGGGTTTTTTGTTTGTTTTTTTCGTTGTTTTTGTTTTTTTTTTTTTTTTTTACTACCTGTAACTGATAACATAACTGGTAATACTGATGTCTTTTTTCATTTAATTATTTAATTTAGCTTGTATATTCTGTAAATGTAAAAAGGAAAGTTGTTACAAGGCTTCATCTAAACATGGCAGATGCAGATACATATCACAGGTCAAACTTTCTAGATATACTTAGTTAAGTACTCACTCATGGGCCAAATTATTAGCCTATGTACCATCTGCGTGGAGCTAGGGATGAACATTTCACAAAGATACTTCTGTTCATACTAAATTAACATTTGGGAGAAAACACATGTTCATGGAAATGGGTTTTCTATGCCAGGGAAGCAACAGTAGCAAACAGTTGAAATTAATGGAATCAGAAATAAAAGTGACAGAGAGAGTTTGAGACCTTTTACAGCATTCTTTATTGCAACAGCATGATACCTACCCTCAATTCACAGTCTTCATTTACAGCTAGGTTACTGGGCTTCAGGTCCTGCAGCAGAACAGACAGAGATAGTCAAGTAGAATTTTAACCTTTTAAAGTATGTTATAACTATGTCTTAGTAACACGATGCACAGAGGGACACACTCTGTTCATTTTTATTATCACAATGAGTGAACTTACCCTGTGGATGATTCCAGCTGAGTGAATATACTGTGAAACAAAAAGGGAAAAAAAAAGGTAAGATTTGAAGTTAGAGGTGAAGGAAGGTACAAGTCTCTTGTCCTAACTTTTCACTTCTGAGACTCATTGCTTTATATACAGAAAAAAACTTACATCACACTACATTTTCAGATCAAATGGAGGTATGACTGTTGCCTGAAAAGGGGTGGTAGAACAATTTGGCAGGAAATAAACCCCCTTGCATTCCAGCTTGTGTGAACAAGGCTGGTTTTTGATTTCTATGTTACCTCCAGTAACTACTCCACAATGATGAATTTCAACACCACCTTGTTTCGTCTTATCCAGAGCTGGATATTTCAAGAAAGGTAACCATGAAGATTAGATATACCACAAAGAATAGCACTTGCAGTGATTCATCTGTCAATAGTTTCTTACCAATTTGGAATTTATTCCAGTCTTATCTGGATGTCCATGCTGATTTGGCTAGCACCTCAGTGAAAACAGTGGCCCAGGGAACAGTATGGTTGACTCCTAGGTGATGTAAGTCACCTTCCCATACTGTGAACACTGAACGGGAGTGAGAGATACTCGCACTCTGGGACAAGTTAGTGACCAACACCCACCTAAGCCACAGCATTGCTTCAGGCCCACTCCAAAGCAGGGACCCAAAGCAGTATTTCAATGACTATTTAGTGTCTTTGCTATTTTACACAAAACATTAAAACTCAAAGACTGAGAAAAGCTTATTCTGTAATTGCCTGTTGTTCACCTGTGTCCTGGTTTCAGCTAGAATAGAGTTAATTTCCTTCCTAGTAGCTGGTACAGTACTGTGTTTTTGATTTAGCATGAGAATAATGTTGATAACACATTGATGTTTCATTTGTTGCTAAGCATCAGGTCAAGGATTTTTCAGCTTCTCCTGCCCTGCCAGCAAGAAGGCTGGAGGTACACAAGAAGCTGGGAGGGGGCACAGCCAGGACAGCTGACCCAAACTGGCCAAAGGAATATTCCATACCGTATGATGTCATGCTCTGCACGTAAACTAGGGGGAGTTGGCTGGGGGGGTGGCAAATGGGCTGGCCATTGATCAGTGGGTGGTCAGTAACTGCATTGTGCATCACTTGTTTTATATAATTTATTATTATTATTATTATTATATCTTCCTTTTCTCTCCTATTAAACTGTCTTTATCACAACCCATGAGTTTTTATCTTTTGTTTTTTTCCCCAGTTCTCTCCCCCATCCCACAGCGGGGCAGGAGTGAGCGGACAGCTGTGTGGTATTTAGCTGCCTAACGGATTAAACCACAACAACTTGTTAGGATTAACAGACCGTTTATCTATGGTCTTACTGACCAGGATCAGCAAGACCTCTAAAACCTTCACTTCTATTCTCTGGGGGTGAAGTCACCTTCTTTTTTAGGAGCAGAGATTACACTCAAAACCTGTATATCATGTGGGAAAGCCCAAGGAGAACACCCGGGCATTCTTCTTGTTCAGGACCTACACACTGTGTATCAGAAGGGCCACCCCAGAGCACTCCTCACAACAGCTGTCAGCAGCTGAATGAAGGGGAAACCAAACTACTGCTTGTGACAGAAGGAGCTGTGTCCCTGCTCTGCTGAGACAAGGGCTCCTCGTGGTGCCACCCAGCAGCCCTCTACCAGCCAGCTCGGGAGCTGCCAAACAACACAGCTCCACACTAACGCTCCATCTGCTCAGACAGCTTCTGCTGGGTGTGCCCCCTGCGCTCCCAACTGCTGAGCGCACCCACCAGCGAGCCCAGAGCTTACTCAGGTATGCGAATACTCATTGTAATGGCTCCAGCAGAGATATAAGCAAGGAGTTATATATGATCAAATGTTCTTTGACTAATGAGACATGAGAATTTTAATTCCAGAAGAGCCAAGCCATAATCAACCCCTCCCCTTTGGAAGAGAGCCAGAAATGCACCTGAGTGCATTTCTGAAATTAATATCCACTTTAGAGCACAACTCTTACTATTATTTAGCTCTGACACAACATAGCCTTATGTTCAAAACCGCAAGCTGCATGATTAACTCAAGAATCCATCTTCCTAATCAAGCTATTAACTTAAGTAAATGAGAAAAAGCAATTAAGGGCTCAGTTCTGCAATTTTTATTCACTAAAATCTGCACTTAAATTGACAGAACCTGCACGCATGAATAAGAATGACTCTCTCGGGCACCAGGTGACTTGCTGAAAATCATGTACTAAGTATATTTCAGAGCCAGTATTTACCAAGGCTTGCTTTCAAACATACAGATATTTTCCATGGCTAAAATATCAATTACTGTTATCTACTAAAGCAGCTGACCCTTCTCCTTTTTTTTTTTTTTTTGCTTATACCTGGGAAAATCAACACTGATCCAAGAAAATGCTTATCACCTAGTAATGGGAAGCATTTTCTACACCTTCTCCTGTTTATAGACACTTACACATTTAATGTCAGCAAAATGATACAAATTTTAATTCTTTTGGAAGACAATGTTGCTACTATTTAATTGCCAATTGCCTGTGTTATCTAATTGTATAAATATTAACTCATATGATTAAAGGGAACAATGAATTTAGAGGCATAGTAAATCCTATGATTGTGTGCAATACTGTACATTGCTAGGGCAAATTTCTACTTCCAGACATTTCCCAAAGAACCCAGCTAACTTGGTTATCTCTTCACTCACGTGACACTCTACAAAAATCAGGGCTGTGGTGGAGGAGCCCAGGACTTGGGAGTCTTGGTGGATGAGAAGCTGAACATGAGCCAGCAGTGTGTGATTGCAGCCCGGAAGGCCAACTGTATCCTAGGCTCCATCAAAAGAGGGGTGGCCAGCAGGGCGAGGGAGACGATTGTCCCCCTATGCTCTGCCCTCATGAGACCCCCGCCTGGAGTATTGTGTCCAGGCCTGGAGCCCCCAACACAAGAAAGATGTAGAGCTGTTGGAGCAGGTCCAGAGGAGAGACACAAAGATGATCAGTGGGCTAGAGCACCTCTCTTACGAAGAAAGGTTGAGGAAGCTGGGCTTATTTAGCTTGGAGAAGAGAAGGCTCTGGGGAGACCTCACTGCAGCCTTCCAGTACTTGAAGAGAGTTTAGAAACAGGAGGGAGAGCAACTTCTTACATGGGCAGATAGTGATAGGACAAGACAAAATGGTTTTAAACTGAGAGGAGATTTAGGTTAGATATTAGGAGGAAATTTTTCACCCAGAGCGTGGTGAGGCACTGGAACAGGTTGACCAGAGAAGTTGTGGATGCCCCATCCCTGGAGGCATTCAAGGCCAGGTTGGATGGGGCCCTGGGCAGCCTGATCGAGTGTTTGGCAACCCTGTCTGCAGCAGGGGGTTTGGAACTAGATGATTGCTAAGGTCCCTTCCAACCCAAGCCATTCTATGATCAAAAAAGTGTTTAAATACTGTCACTTCAATGAACCAGTCCTTACTACACCACTTTGGTGCTGACTCTAAAAGTCCAGCATTCAGCCCATACCTTAAGACCTCGAAGTAACTGATAGATGAGAAACTGTATATGATCATCTGTTAACTTCTGGCACTTCACAATGTTATTCAAGTCAGCACCCATTAAATTTGTCACAAGATACCTGTGCAAATAAAACAGAGAGAAGAAAACAAAGAAACACACTTCATTTAAGAAGAGCAGAATGTAAATCCTTCTAAAAGCAGCACATCTAAAGAGTAACTACACACTCCCATGTAGGTTCATTTTCCATTTTCTACTAACACACAGTTTATGCCCTTAAAATCAGCTATTAGCTTTAATAATGGAATCACACCTATGAGATTTAATATAATGAAAAAGAAAAATCCTTATGGTACAATAAAAAGTTTTATCTCTGTTTCCCCCAAGACACACCACAGCAGTCCAGTGAGGGGAGAACCCATCCTATTTTGGGATGAATTTGAAGCCTCACCCAGTATCAAAGTGGGAGCCTAGGCACCAAAACTACAGCACCTGCAAGGCCCTGGAATATCTGATGATGGAGATTGACATTGGATTGGTTGAAATAAGAGTGTTTTGTGTGACTTCCCTCCCTGCCCCCACTGGAAGTTTTCTTTTTTGACAAATTTTGCGGAAATGTTCATTGTTTTCCAAAAACAGTGCTGGGACAAAAGTATGCATCTATCATACCTGGTTCTCATTTGTGTAATTTTGCCCCAGAGTCAAAGGGGTTTGGCCACTAATTTTCATGGAGACAAAAATATATTAAATACTATTTCTTCTGCTAAATTGTTTACCTAAGTGCTTATACACAATGTAAACCAAGAGGAACTCAGCATAAATCATATGTTTGAGTAACAGAAAAATAGCCTAAATTTACCCTGTCTCAGTCAACCAACAGAATACTTCACTGCTTTCCTAAACTATCCCATGTAGCTGTGAAAAAATAATCTACAGCTCACACATAACTGAACTGAAAAATAATCTTACTAATTATCATTCAAAAAAGTAAAAAAAATGAGGCCCATCTTCCTGCCTCCTTTTTTATAGAATTTGTTGCAAAAAGATTTATTGGGGTTCTTCACAGAAAGCCAACTGTGACTGCAAGTCTATTAAAGGTTCCTTTTTAAAACCAGAGTGGTACTTACTAACTAGTCAGAATAATTTTAAAATTTTACTTACACTTCATTAAAATTTTCTATTGATGATGCAGGTGTAAAAACATCTAGCAATCCTATAACCTGAAAGATGAGGGAATTGACATTTTATTTTTAGAAATCTGTAAAGCAACATGTAATTAGCATTGACAGTGCTTAGCATTTTTGGGATGAAACTTACAAAAATATGACATATAGTCACCCTGAAAACTTAGTACAACTGGCACAACAGGTGGTCTATACAGGTATAGCCTCAGCTACCTCCATGACCAACAGAAAATTACATTAATTACAAAAAGTAAGTACAAGACTTTAGACAGTCAGAAATAAATGCAGAAAAGTAACATCTCATCACAAAAAAACCTGACACATGGCTTATAGACTTGTCATACTTAAGATCATGCACAATTGAATGGGATATCTTGTTCTGTTGTTGTTTAACTTTTTTAGCATCCTTTCTTTAGGATACTTTTCAACCCATTATATTTTATTCAGGCTTCAATTCATCAAGTTACCTTTAAGCAGGTGGATACTCCTGAAATCAACTGTTTGCCACATAAACTTCATAAACTTAGAACAGCACTCAAGTATTTGGGGCCTAAAGTTGACTATCTTTCATCTAGATATTACACTGTTGATAATTTCCATGAGAGTATCTGCCCTTAATATCTCAACAGAATCTAAATTCAGCAAAAACAGGTTTGATTTTTTTTTTTTTTCCTCCTGGACTGATGTTTCAAGAGCATCCAACAGTAGTGAGCAGAACACTCTTATACTCTTATTACTTTAGTTAGGGAACAGTAGGACCACTTGGTTTGCATTTCATATGCTGCATCTTCAAGATGAAATGAGATAATTTTTCAATAAAAAGGCAGCCTTTTACTGAAAATCTCTACTTTAAAGTCCAGTGACTTCACTACACATAAGATGGCTGGGTCCAGGTATCTTAGGTAGCTAGAGAGTTGCATGTACTTTTCAAAAAAGATTGTACCTAACTGAAATTAAACCTATATTGCAAACTTTTGTCATAAAAATCCGAAGGGAAAGAACTCGCTCTCCACTTACGTTCTCATGCTTCATGTGCTTAAGCAACCTAAGCTCTCGGTAGGTCCTCCTGGCGTGAATAAGTGATTGGAAAGGTCTTGAAAGCTTTTTTACTGCCACCTTCTGTCTTGTTTTGGTATCATAAGCTGAACTAGAAGAGGAAAAGAAAAAGTGCATGTTGAAGGCTTGTTCCACTTCAAAGCTCTCAGCTAGTTAACTGGAGAAACCTGTACTCTCCTGGGGACTCTTACTCTTTCCTTTGCCTTCTTTCACCTTCTACTCAGGGACTGCAACTTGGGGAGCTAGTCAGCAGTAACTGAGTATTGAAAGACAGTTCCCTTGTTTTCCAAACAGCAAATCACTAACACTTATTGTAAGGTTCAGGATTCATCCCAGGTGATCCTTCCTCATATGGCGGGAAAAGTAACCAGAGAATTAGCTCCATTTGTGTGGCTCCAGCCTCCAGCTCCAAGGCAAGGCTCATATGGAATATGGGGATTCAAGCTCTGGGTCTTACTGAACAAACTCGAGTCTTTACTAATTAGAGGAATGCTGCCATTGTGTCTAGCAATATTAACTACCTATGTGACCATTAGCTCATTAGACAATAGTATCACAAAACTGGTATCAAATTAGGATGTTGACATAGCCAAGGACACACCATTTCTTCAGAAAATGCTGGTAACCAGAGAACAACAGGTACATGTCTTATACTTCAGCCCACAGATCCTGCAGACACACAGCATGTGCTTAATTAACTTCATACAGATGGAGATGCCTCGCTGAAGAGGACACTAAATACACACGTAACCATTTGCGCAGAGGGAGACCCACTGGTTTTGTGCAAAACCAGGGCAGAAAGACATGACAAGCACAACAAGCCACAAATAAATGCTGCCTGTTATGTAGCACAGAAATAAAAATGATCCCAGTATGTATCACTTCATGACACTACACAGTACAATTATAAAAACATTGTTTGCTACTTTCTCTTATGAAGAGAAAAAAATTTCTTTAAATGTTACTCTTATCCATTAAGTTAAAATTGTGATTAATTAAAATACCTTGAAATTCTCTGTTTGAAGTGTGAATAACACTATCTGTGCTTGCTAAAGAGCATTATCAAGCTGAGAACCCTTGCACATTTATCCTACTAGGACTTTTTTGGAGTTACAAACACTGAAAATCTGATAACATGAAAAATGCATGGAGTACAATCACAACAGTCAATAGTCACAGCAAATACTATTAGCTCCTCATGAACAGTGTTTTGGACACTCCTGCAAATTGTGGTAGGAGACACCTCCTAGAGACAAAAAACATTGACTGTGCCTGGAGTAGCTCCCAAACTAGTACACCAAGCCCATAACCAGCTACAAATAGGTGGGCTCCTCCACAACTTTGATGCTCTGCTAAAGTAATGAAAAGCCAATGAAGAGCAAAGCCTCTTTATTTGCAGGCAGGTGGAGTACACAGTGGTGGTTCTAATGAGAAGCATCAAAGGACACAAGCAACAATTGAGGAAGAACAAAGTAGCATCCAAAAGGTGATAGTGATCCAGTTATCCGAGAATTCACACAACCTCCACGAAGGCCAATGCAGGGCACAATCCAGCAACATTTTTATTTGATAAAAACAGAGTAAGAGGAAGTAGATTTGATCAACAAGTTTCTTGCAGTCACCATGGAAGGACTGAGTCACTCATGAGACAAATGAAACAGATAAGCAGATTACTTAGCTAGTTTTTTGCAAGCATCAGAGAAGTGGATCTTCAAGGAAGTTTTAAAGATGTAGAGTTGTGGCTTTGCTAAGCACCTCAGGAAGGGCATGCCCTGAGCAGAAGAAAGCAAGCACAGGTGGGAGAAGACTGGTGTCACCCTGAAGGGTGGGTGGAAGGGATATGACAGAGATACTTGTTCCAACAGTAGGGTAGGGACACAGTTACTCAGGGCATGAGGACACCGTGTTGCTGAAATATGTGGAGCAGCTCAAAGAATGAATAGTGTGAGAAGAACTGACAACAGAGATATCTTAAATTCCACGTGACTGGCCACAGGGGCAACATGAAGGTTGCATACATAAATTTGAAGAAATAAAAAGGAAGCCAATGCTTAACTGTTAATGTAACAAAGATTAGATATAATTGCATTGCCCTGTGTGTAATCTTGGCCAACAAAGCCACTGGAGAACACTGCCAAGTCTCACAAATACATACTCTCCGTGTTCTTTCCAATTTTTTTTTCCCTGAAAAAGGAAATGTTTATCCAAATAAATAAATAAATAACATTGCCCAAAACAGCAGTCTGTGCTGAGTATCTCAGCTCTTCTGGTAATTCACAAGCCTTCCCACTCATGCTTGTACCAGTTTGTGAAATACTGTACACATTATACAAGGCTATCCTGTTATGATAAACATCCCTCTTCTCCCACTTCTAAGGTCAAATGTGGGTTTCAGTGGTTTAAAAATGGTTGATCTTTAAGATAGATTGTTTTTTACCCTGCACATGACTCAAGGCTGCAAAACTTTCAGATGAAGTGTCTTACCTCCCATTAGTATGTTACCTCATGTAGCTGGACAGCATAGTATGATAGAGATAAACTTTGATACTTGAAAAGGGATATAATTTCCCTTCTCTAATCTATTCTTCACTGTTAGCATTTGATTTGATGTAGGCAGCAAAAATAAGTGACTTTTTAATTGCTTATTGTCGGTGAGTATTTCTTACAATACCATACAGCAATATGCTCACATGCCTCCATAGTATATGGAAACACCACAGACAGAGTTTCTACCACAATTTAAAAGGAAACACAATTCATACTACTTTTTTATTTTACAAGATTCAACTTTGTAACAATCTTAGCAACAGCGCTTTCAGATATGATCATGTTTGACCCAGAATCCTTTGCAGTTATGACACATTTTTTGCTGTCTGTCCTTTCCAAGATCAAGGACAAAAAGCCATTATCCTGCTTACAGGGATAGCATAATTTTCACACAGATTAGAGACTTTTGCATAGTGTGATTTTCAATCATTGCTTCAATTAGACCTACCTTTTCAGTGTTGTCAACTTCTATATTTAACAATCTCATTGAAGTTCCACTGGGTGAAATATGAATCTCTATTTATATGCACAGTTTCCCAGTTCTTAAGTTTTCAGAAAAAAGCTTGACTATAGGAAGCTAATGCAGTCCAAAAACTCATGAGGCAAAAAGCACAGGATTTTACAAGCTTCATGCTAACTTAAACACTTTTGCTGGGGCATAGATTTTTAATAGTTGATGTTTATAAACAAGGCCATACATACAGTCATTTCCCTACTATCCATGGACATTTCATCCTCTGTGGTTGCAGAGCAGGAATACTGGACAGACAAGCCATTTGTGTGTGCAGCCTGCTCAGACCCTTCAGTGCTTTTGGGATTAGAAGGATGCTATTCAGCTACGGACACCTAGCCTTCAGGATCCAATTTGCTTCAGCAGCTGGAGGGCTGCTTGCAGGAACCCAATCTAACAGGTCTAGGTGAGGCAAAAAGAAGGCGTGATCCAAGCTGGTTGTACATGGAGACAGTCTTGTGTCTGCAGTGAACTCCCCCTTTACTGTAGGTTACCTATGTCAGCTGATGTTCCATTCCCATCATCCCAGATAACCACAAGGTTTTGGTTGTCTGCAAAATGTAATTTTATGCTTACGGAAGCATTACATCTGTACAAATAATTAGGTACACATATTCTAAGTGATTCATCTGGGGTTAAGTGCAAAGAATAAAGAGAAGACTAACTTTTCAAATTTTTAAAAATATAATCCAGTGTCTCAGCTTGCAAGGTTGTTATCCCTGCATCATTAGAAGTTTGACAACTGGTTGGACACACTGTACCAAACTTGGAGAGAACGCTGTACACAAGCAGATCCTTAAATTTGCTCCATTTGACAATGACACAGGGTCTGGGTTTTCATAGAATCATAGAATGGTTTG